TTTTGAATTTTAAATTTTTGAATTTCAAATTCTTCATTTAATTTTATCTTAATTGAGAGTTAAAATTTTCCATTTGAACCCAGCTACCTGAATGGAATTTATTTAATTCCCCGCCTAATCTCCCGTAACGTTCACCTTGCCTATACAATCCCGCTTAGCTTCTGGCATCGGCTCTCCTGTCTGGCTCCTTTCTTCTTCCGCTCTGCACCGAAAACTCCTCTCGTATATCTTTCCCTGATCTTTCCCTGCCTCGTGCTCGAGACAGGTCGGCCTCCCTCTTCCTCTATCGATCCCGACTCCCTCGTCTCGCTCAACTCGCGTCTCCTGCTCGGCTTCCTTGCATTCGATCCCACCTCCTTCCTCGCTCAACCGAATAACCTCGCCTCTCCTCTGCACGATGAATTCAGACCAAGCAGCAAGAGGATCTTCTTCAACATTATCCCTTCCTAGTATAATAACAACTCATAGAACTTCGAGGTAGTTTGCCTAGCGCGACGTAAATCCTCACACTCTTTTTTTATGCTCCTGTACAATCATGTTGTGCATTGTAAGTCCTAACCCGCCTTATGTTCCGAGGTTATCGTACGGTACAATATAAACACTCATATCTCTGCGAGCTATTTGCATAATCAAGTATTATGCAAGTTTAAGTCCCAAATAATAAAACTGACAGGCAAATACTTAATTAACATCGTCTCTAAAACACAACCACACATTATGATAGTTTGGGAAGTCATTGAGGATTCCTCTCTGGATCTGTGACATCCCCTACCTTTTCTTTCCTTTGGACTCCTGAAATAACTGTTCATATTTGAGCCACTCTCATTTGTCCTTCCACGTCCTAACTTGAAAACCTGAACCTTGAATTCTTGAAGACTAAAACCACTTATCATTATCGAAAATTTTCTCAAGTGACCAAGTGACTCCCGTCACTTAGGATGTAATTAACTATAGTGGCTTACCTCTATAGGGAACTTGGAACCCAGGTAAAATAAACCCTATTTAATTTTTGTATTAAATAGGGAAATTTGTCGGTCATACTTAAAAGGTTCGCAAACCAAATGGATGTCACAAATCTCTTAGTTTGCAGGATTAGGTCTATTGCCGAGATCTACACTTATCTTTCGGGAGGGTGTAGTATTCGCGGTATCGGGCACGATTATGCAAACTATTAGACGAATGAGATCCATTTGGTCTCATTTTTCAAAAATTAAAACATATTGCTTTTAAAACTCAAAATATATATCTCTTTTATTAAATTAAATCTCAAAAATTATTTTCATATTTTCATATTTTTAAATTAATCGAAAAATTGACCGACAGTATAGTGGTTGGGAGAAGCGTGAAAGGAGTTAGGGAGGAAGGACAACGGTAGTAACCTGCAGAAAGGGGGAATGGTTGGGTGTCGAGGTGACAGAGGGAGAGTTCGGTGGTTGAGAAGTGGGGAGGATACAATCAACATCTCGGAAAGGATACAACCGAAACACCACCAACTCCTCAGATACAACCCACAAAGGGGAAAGAATTCCGCACAGGAATTTGAGAACAAACATAACCAAATCTTACTCCTCACACACAGAGGACAACAAGTTATAAGCTCTCAGTAAACTTCTACACAAAAGGAAAAGGAGGGAAAGGCAAGAGGAATCCAGAAGACACTGCGAAGCTTCCATGGATCGCGCTGCATCTCCACGGATTGCAAAATTTTGTTATCCCTGCCTCTCGCCCTCGCGAGTGATCGTGGCTCTCGCCCGTCCCACTGTTCCCATTAGAGTTTGCGGGCCTTCGATCTCTCAGGATTGAAGCGCCCTGTATCGGGGCGCATTCAATGCCCAGGGACACTATTTTAGCGCCCGTATTAGGGCATTTGTTAACGTCTGCATCAGTCTTCTGAGGTTGGGGGAAACTTCGACATCATAGGTTGAAGCTTCTATTTCATATTCAGTCACCCATGGATCCCACTAGCGACTGCACAGTCTCTCGAGGCGCCTGAGGGTCTTCTCCCGCGTACTGCAAACATCCACCTTAATCCCATCTTTTGTGATTGTGTGCCCTGCACATAATGTTGAATTTTCACAAAGTATCTCATAGGCGGTTCGGTCTTGTGTACCGGGAGAGTAGCCCGAGCCTTCCCGCTCTGTGGTGGAGTGGTTGATACGGTATCGTCAACGAGGCCTTGAAATTTTTTGTTGTATTTGCCCCATGTTAGGAGCCAGTATCATGGTCCGCTCATTATGTATCACCACTAATTCTGGTTCCCCTGACACCGCTTTGCTGATAAGGGATGCAATGTCCTTAGGCTCCGTCAAAGGAAGGAGGGTGATGCGCTTCCCGTCCTTGGTGAAAGAATACGTGTTTCTATATCCATCGTGTTGAGTCCTCTAATGAAACCGTCGTAGTCGTCCCAACAAAATGTGGCAGGCATCCAAGAGAACCATGTCACATCATATTTTGTCCTGTAGCTATCCTCCGATCAAAAATTTTACCAAGCATCTTTAGTCAATGCTGCCTGATTCTTTTTTTTCAAGCACATTAGTAAATATAACTGGGAATGTCTCTACCATCTGTGTCGATGTCCCGTTCTTGCTGCTTCCGCCATTGATGATTAGATTACAAACTTTTTCGTTCACTGTGCAACGTTGTAGAATATGTTGTACAGAAGCCACTGTGAATCCATCGTGTCCTTGTTTTGTAGGATCTGTCGAATTATGAGTGCTACTCCTTCGTCTAGTGGGAATTGATATACCTTACCCTATTCCTTAGCTTTCTCCTCTTCACTTATCTCTTCTATGTAGACTTGATATGTGAGTCTGACTACCCTGCTCGTGGGGCAGCTGGAGGCTATGTGGTCGTAGGCGTGGCATCGGTAGTACTTCCTGGTCGGTACCGTGTTGGAGGAGCTACCCTTCCCCTATTTCTTTCCGCTTTGATCTGTAGTGTCATTCCCCTGTTCGGGCTTGCCCGTGTCTCCCTGGATATCCCTGTTAGTCGTGATAACTGTATGTAGCAGTCTGCCTAAAGGTTGCTGCTTGAAAGATGGTTGTTGTCGGCTTTGTTTCTGTTGCCTTTCCACCTTCAAGACTAATAGATTTGTCGTGATAAGCTAAGCCATGTAAATGCTCCCTTTACATAAATCCTTCTCCGTAGAGATGTTTAGGACACGTACGCGAGTCTAGTCGTTCATATAACAAAAATGCAAAAAAAAAAAAAAATTTGTTTTAACGTGTTAGCACTAAAATGATCACTTGTGAGGATGGCATGTCAGGCACTGCAGCGCCGCCTTTGCGGTGCCATAGTATTATACTTATATAAAACATCGTGACACCACATAGGCAGTGCCGCAATGCCTCCCCTTTCATCCCTAAATTAAAAGGATTCGCATCACAATGCCGTATATACAACCTCGTGATGTGGTCCTTTTAATTTGTGGGTTTGCATTTGCATTTTGCATTTTTATGTGCATAGCACTATTTGAAACGGTATGGTGGAACAACTTTGCCCATGCCCATCATGGATTTGTTTTCTTTGGCTATTTTGTTTCATCATTGTTTCCATGTTGCATATATTCAGTGTGCACATCAAGCTTTATAGCATGTCGAACCTTGCGTCCATGCCTATGGGTTGAATCCTTGAAGCAACTTGTGCATCTGTGTGCACTACACGACTTGTCCCTTTTGGGTAAGTCCGCTATTCATTCCATATAGATCTAGATTTTCAGTCAACACGATAGCGGTGGAACTAATGTTAAACCATGGAGATGACATATGGTTATAATAAAAAATGAGTATTGTCTTTGACCTTGTCTATGCAAACAATGTAAATTACTCTATCATCACAAAATTTTGCAAGAAAGTTCTAAGAATGTGGATGAAATAACATTTATCATTTATTTGATAGATATTAGTCTATTTGAGTCCTTGGGATAGTGCTAGTTTTGGTGACTCTATCAGGATCCTACGAGCATGCCCTTAGCCATATTTTTCTGCACATACTAGATGATGTGTTAGGTAATAGCTTATACATTGTAAGGTCTCTTTGAACCCATAATTCTAATAAATTAAGAACATTTTTATACAATATGCCGAAGCCTTTCTAGGTTTACCACTGCCTAAATTAACACCTACAAAATAAATATTATTATGGCTTTATAATTTATGCTCCACATTTTGACATGACTCCATGCAGAAAAATTCCTCAATATATATGCTAGCGTGCTCACATCACATGCAACAACTAGATCACAAGCCAATAAAAAATAATGACTGTGCATATAAAAAATTTAACTACAACCTAACCATAGGTTAAATATGCATAAGTTGTTACCTAACAATGTACAAGTGAACATAGGGATATGTTGTTGTGGGAGGCCTCTTTGAAGCCATAATAAAAATAAATTAGATTTTACCCTGGTTCGGATATGAAGGCCATTGTAAGGCTTTTCTCATATATTTGTTTGGGTTAAGTTTGGTTTGATTTACTTCAAATCACTCCACTCTAGCTTATATTATGAGAACTGTCTTATGAGATGTCTTCATAGCCACCATTTTGTCTTTCTTGATACATGCTCAATTCATTTCTCATCTTCTCTCTTTCTGTTTCTATGTCAAGCCGTTTGAGAATGGAGATCTAAAATGGGCAAAAATAAGGAAAATAACATAGGGACGCAACAATTTTATTACCGTTAATCGGATGTATACAAATGATTCGAATGTCAGACAATATCGCATACTTCCTGATCAGATTCTACTGTTTTCCGCATCAATTTAAAACCTGTATTTAGCAAATAGTCATGGAACTGTAAATTTTCTCATCCAACAAACTTCAATTTATCTAAATTGTTTTTTATTATACAAAATCAAATGCTTTTTATTTCTGTCTGAAAAACATGGTTTCAAAATAAACATTAACCATTTCCATCAGTAAAACATCACGATAAAGCCAGGAAAGACCTATGTAATTGCAGGATGCTTCATCTATGAAAACGCTTAAACAAAATTCACCTGATATGACTGCCTTCTCTACTCCTAATTCATTCGCTGTCCTGTAATAAAAAATGAGCACAGTTATATCCATAAAAACAAGCCAGAGATAAATAATAGAAAACGTAAGCATGATTAGGCAAGGAAATAACTTACCTTAGATGTAAATCTTTTATGAACCTCAGCTCATCGATTCCAGACACATTGGATACACCACAGCTCACTGCCTTCTCCCCTGCCTAAGTAAGAAATATAAGATTCAGGACTAGATGTCGAACCGAGGGGCATCTATATTTGCAGTAGCTAGGGATCATAGGATACCTCAAACCTGCAAAAGTTTGTTTGTAGTTTTTCCCATAGCAGAGAGAACAATCACTGGCTTCTCATCTGAAAAACTCAGAATGATATTTGCAACCTCCCTCATCCTCTCAGCTGTGGCTACTGAAGAACCACCAAATTTCATCACAATGCTCAACTGTTCAGCACATAGATCATCATTATGCTTTTCTATTTCATCTTTTACCACTACTGCAGAATCGCCTCTCTGGCAACAAATTCTCAAATATCTTCCCCTTAAACGTTGAACCATTCCCCTCTTTCTAGAGACCCTACCAAAATGCTCAAACCCAGGTGCAAACCGCCTGTTTAATAACAAGCCAATCGAACTCTGCAAATTCCTTCCAAATCCCGTGACACCAGATAGAACCCCCATCTGAAGCGGGATCGCCATGCGTAATCACAAACCTCTTCCCTGTCCAGGATCCAATCCTATTACTAATCGAAAAACTAAAATGCAGACTCTCTATCCACGATAAACTTCTGAAGATCTGCACATATTAAGTTCAAGCGAATTCTTAGCAAGTTGTAATTGACAAAACCCCCAATTAACCGATTGATCACAATGACTACAAACAAAAATAAACGTGAAACACGAGAAGGCACATTGAAAACACATTGATCCGTTCACGGAAAATACGTTCGAGAAATCAAGAACAGTGGAAAGATTCGCACCACGATACTGATCCACCATAAGCAATGCAGAGAAGACTGCATTTCTTCTACCCCTTCGAGTGAAACCGGAGCTTCTGTGGGACGCGGGAAGTAGAATAAAGGATATATATATACATATATATATATATATATATATATATATATATGCACTTTGT